ACAATCCACTATGATTTATAACAAGTCAACAATTATTTGACAAACACAAATGTGTAAACAACAAAATCTTGTTTTGCCTGCAAGAGACTCGCAAACCTATTGTTTTCTGTTGTAACTCCCAACTTTTTATGTCAAACTCAAAACAAACGGTTACAAATGGCATTGAATAATAAATCGAAAAGTACCATTATGATAAGTTGATAACTCGTAAAGCAGAGAGGTCCGTTTGAAACCCAACCCAGCAAAAACAAAATCAAGACGGAGAGTTTTAAAAGTAAATATGCTTTTTAGAAGTCTTGAGCCATTTCTGAAAGAGTACGAATTATGTTGCTTGCCACGTCCAGAAGCTGCAAGTACTCATCCGCACCATCTACAAGTCGCTGCATGCATCGAAAAGGAAACATATGAGACTATCGTTTGTTTATCATTAGAGGCGATTGAGACACGCTTAGCTAGACTAAAACATATCTACAGATTTAAAAGATAATGAATAACGCGGTCTAAAGATGTGAATTTGACTCAGAATCCATAGTTTAATTGAGATGGGAAGTTGGTAACTGATCTCACTTGAGTCTCCAACTAACTCCATAGAAAAGAATCCAGCACAAGGGGAAGTCTTACCTTATCTGTTTCAGCTAGACATTTGCAGATATTAGCCTTTTGCATGTCTGTCGTGTCATCACCAGCCTTAACCACTATATCGAATAACTGAGAGGAGAGTTGTAAGAAAAAGTGGTTATAACCACAATTGCGAGATTTAAATGTGCTGTAGATAAGGGAGGGAAATAGATGAATACCTGGTTGATGATTTGAGAAGCAGGGTACCCTTCTGCAACTATGTTGTCCACTTCCTTGTTCGCAATATCGAAATTACCACTTTTGCATGCAATAAAAAGTCTCTCGACTACCTCCAGAGGGACTACCTGACATCCAAAGTTAACCTATCATGAATTCTGACTGCGTTTTTTTGGTGAAACTATCACACTTATGCAAAACCGGGTTATCTTCATCCTTACCCCAGACACGTCGAGTAAATCCTTGGAAGTTATTGTTGATCCAAACAACCGAGCACCACTCTGTAATGTTCACGGAGAAAGACTGGTTCAATTTCGTCCAATAGCAAATATTTCATATGTCGTTTAATCTTACTTACCTGCAGATATGTGATGGCCCTACGGAGATCACCTTGTGATATGGAGCTCAAAGTTGAAAGAGCCTACACGGGAGATATCCAGTATAAGCAGCTTTGGCGAAAACTAACAAAAAAGAAACGCAAACCTTAAAGCATATAGTCACACCTCTCCACCAAGAGTAAGCCCTTCTTCATTACAAATATGCAATATACGGTTCGTCATGACTTCTTCAGAAAGTGGTTTAAACCTGAACTTCGCACATCTGGAAGCAAGAGGCTCTATGATCCTAAAGAATAAGAAATCAAAGTTATATGCGTGATCAAAATCAGTGGGTTCACAGTACAGGTCCACCAAGTGTTCTTAATTATGAATTGACTAAAAACGCTTTCTGCGAGTAGCTCAATCATAAAATTTATTTCCAGATTATAATAAACTTATACACGAAGATAAATCATGTAACATAATTAGAGAGAAATTGGGACAAAATGAGAGAGAGATGCAAATGAGAACGGAAGACAAAAATGGCCAACATTTAGCTACCATAGTAACAGAAATTACCTGCTGATATAATTACAAATGAAAAAGAATCTGGTGACTTTGGAGTAAGTTTCCATTGTACGCCTCAAGGCATTCTGGACAGTCAGTAAAATAGTTCATCGTAAGCAAATTTTAAACGTACAAACGTGGTAGTAAGATGTTGTTCAACATACCTGAGCATCTTCTGTCATTGAATCAGCCTCATCAAGGATGATGATCTTAAAAGATGGGCAAGGATAACCGCTGAAATATCATATCATAGTCTTAGATGAAATGCACATGGATCACACAGAAGCAGAAACGAAAAACTGACAAAATTCACTCAACAAACGC